TATTACTTAAGAATTCTTAATACCAACTTGTAAACTTGATTTTCTGCTTTAGCAGCAATGATTATTCAATAAACTGTCATAATTTTAATTTTCACCTTATTCCTAGTTTCATGGGAATAAATAGCAATGACGTTCATGTGTAACTGTTTGTAATAATTAAGAATGATTCAGAAACCCTACATCCACGTACAATTTTGCAGATTAGGCACCCACATATCATATTCACCTTCGTCGGATTACGTTTATAATTAAAATCGTATCAGTAGCTAAGATTTTAATTCCATGTGATTAGTTCCGCTTATGAATTAAAATGAAACCAGGATAAATGTTGATTAACAGTGGTATGCATTCGTTATAACTAAATATGCATTAGGATTTAACAGTGATGTGGGAAACAGTTGACATACCTTAATATGAATAATTGAAATGACGTGGGTTATCAATAATGACTATATATATATATGCAGTTTAAGGTCAAAGGTCATTTGTTTTTACAGTCAATAACACATTAAGAGTGGGTGGTGTAATAGTGGACTGGAGTTCACAGACAGATAAGTGGTGTGAAAATCTTATGGCCTATAAGTGATCCGTGGATTTAAGAACTGAAAACTTGGGACACGTAATAACTTATTACAATTTGAAGAGGTCACATAATTACAGAGGATTAAGTGAGCAGATGTAAGTGACAGGGTGCTGGAATAAATCGGCAACTAAATTTTAAAAGTGAAATGAATTAATACATAATCCATCTTATTACTTGTTCACTCCATGGATTATAAGGAGTTCATATTATTCTATATCTATATTTGTTCTAGCGTCATATCGACTATTAATAAAGACGGACACGGTTTATAAAGTAAGACAATAAGTGTAGTTGCTATATTTATATTTCACTAATTCATTAGTTGAATAAAAATGTTACTAGGCAATACGGAACACAGTTAACGTGAACATGTAAACCGTTTTTTAACAAATTCTGTAAGTTGTAGACCGACGTAAACATCACAAACTTTTGACGACTTTATTGGATTCATACAATTCTGAAAAAACAAACAAATCAGTTGTGAAATAAAGAATTATACCTAGTTATAAGTATCACATTCAATAAGTACATCAAATAGCAGGTTACAGAATGTACCTATAAGTCTCTTATTTGCAGACAGCGCTAATCATTAGAGATTTCTATTTCCTTTAATAAAAATTAATAGGTAATCTTTACAACACACAAATCAATGTTATTTAAAAATTGCCGAAATCAGTTTCGTCACAACAAAGAAGCGTGGTCTGAATTATGAAGAAAATGTTATTCATTAATGTGGCATAAACGAGATATGAATACAAGGAACTTGTGATTCTGCTTCCATTGCTCATTCACTTTTCGTCCCGTTGTCTGCATGAATTACTTCGGACGAGTCAGTCTGTAATACAGTAGGAATTCATGAATTAACTCATGAATAGTTGTTTTTTATTCAAGTCTGTGTCGTAACAAGCACTGGGAATTTATTCAGTGTCTAACCCTTGTATTATTTCGTACATACATCTGGTATTAGCAAGAAAAATTGGTAGGTACCATTTAGATATTACTCGACAATATGCATCATAAGTTTGTTCACATTTTCGTCTGAGACTGTGCATTTCGTTTACAGAAAATTATTCGTCAACCCTATAACAGACACATCATGAATCAATATTAAGTACGACATGGTTTTGTCACTATGCTCAGAAGAGACAGCCATCGTTTCACTTATGAAGATTTTGTGCCTATTTAATGTGGTGTTATACACTGTTCCTGTATACGTTCAGAAAGCCGGTAAAAAAGACTATCAACATCAATTCTTACTCACATAATTTTTCTCTGATACGTTACACAATAATATGTCACTTCAATACCAAACAATGCTACCTTTAGTGCAAATAACCTTTTATGGCTAAATACAAACAATTTATATAATATCCATAGTTAGTTTAATGCTTACTTCTTTCTGATAACATCGTATAAACGACTGCGAACATCTATGTTTGCTGTCACCATAATCAAGGAGGTGAACCATATATAATGCTTTTCACGGCTTATATTCATGAAAAGTCAATCTGTTTTCTATTTTTCACTAGAAAAATGGTGATTTGACTTGTTTGACCTTGTATTATTAAAAAATAACCATATTACGCCAACTGCATGTTTACTTAGGTGGTGAGCACAAAATACGTCAAACTGCTTATAAATTGAAATAAATACTATCTTCCAATCACAAAGATTACGAGAAGTCACGTATGATGGAAAAAGGCTGTTAATAGCTGATAAATAACGAAACATAAAATCCACGACAATATGTTACATGTGCGCGAAAACCCGTAAACTAACACGCATAGTGTGCCCTCACAGAGACGATAAAAATGTCGCATATCCCGCCACTACCGTATAACCATTATCAGTATCTTGGATGAATTCAAGCCCCATTTTATATTTTAATTAGCCAAAGGCACACAAAAATGAATTTTTAAGAATAGAGCTGGTGGCTGTTTCGTTAGAAATAATTTTGCCCTGTCATACTGCTCAGTTTTTCCACTTTTATTTACTACTTCAAATTCCACTACTTTCTCCTATCAGTTCCCCTGAAAACTTAAAAGATATAATTGGACCCGCCAGGAGATTGCTGTGGCTTAAATTGTTTAATCTTGTTGGCATTTCTTAGGAGGGTTTTTTTTCTGCGGTATCTAAGAACAGAGGAACAGATTAGTAGCTCACCGTGATTGAATTCAATGGACATCGAAGCAGCACACACAAGTCTCCCTGAGGGTGTCACTCCACCAAAAATCAAAGAAATCAGAATGGCTATCAGACAGTCAGGAAAGGGAAATCAGCGAGACCTGACAATATACCAGCCGAAGCACTGAAGTCAGACACAGAGGTAACTGCAAGTATGCTTAACCTTATATTCAAGAAGATTTAAGAGAAGGAACAGGTGATGATGGACTATGAAGAAGGATACCTCATCAAGATACCAAAGAAAGGCGATCTGAGCAAATGTAAGAACTACAGAGGCATCACACTACTGTCAGTACGACGATAACTTTTCAACAGAGCTCTATTGAACCGGGTGAAAGATACAGTACACGCCCAACTTCTAGATCAACAGGCTGTATTCCGTAAGGATCGGTCGTGCATAAACCGAATTGCGACACTACGGATTATCGTTAAACAATCGGTTAAATGGAATTCGTCGCTATACATCAACTTCAATGATTATGAAAAGCCGTTTCCCAGTGTAGATAGAAGAACATTATGGAAACTTCTTCGACACTATGGAGTTCCTGAGAATATTGTCAACATTATCCGGAACTCATACGACGGACTACAGTGCAATGTCGTGCATGGAGGACAGCTGACAGGTACATTCCCAGTAAGGACCGGAGTCATATGAGGATGTTTACTCTCTCCCTTTCCCTTTCTTCTGGTGATCAACTGGATTATGAAGACCTCGACATCTGAGAGGAAATACAGCATACAATGAACAGCTCAGAAACAATTAGACGATTTGGACTTCGCAGATGACCTACTTCTCTATCGCATACACACGAACAAATACAGATAAAGACGGACAGTGTAGCAGCAGTTTCTGCATCAGTAGGCCTCAACATACACAAGAGGAAAACCAAGGTCCTCAAATTTAAAACGGAGAACACCAATCCAATCACTCGTGATGGCGAAACTCTGGAAGATGTAGAATCCTTCACATACCTGTGAAGCATCATCGATGAACAAGGAGGTTCAGATGGAGACGTAAAGGCGAGGATTAGAAAAGCAAGGGCTGCAGTCCTACAATCAAAGAACATATGGAACTCAAAACAACTGTCTGTCAACCAATATCAAAGTGAGAATCTTCAATACGAACGTCGAGGTAGTTCTACAGTACGTACGGAGCTGAAACTCAGAGAACTACAACGACCACCATCAAGAAGGTACAAATATTTATGAACAGTTGTCTGCGCAAGATACTCAACATCGATTGGCCGGATACCATAAGCAACAGCCTTCTGTGGGAGAGAATAAACCAACTTCCAGCTGAAGAGGAAATTATGAAAAGACGATGGAAATGGATAGGATATACATTGCGGAAATCACTAAGCTGCATCACGAGGCAAGCCTTGACTTGAAATGCTGAAGAGAAGCGGAAAAGCGAAATGCCGAAGAACACATTACGTCGGGAAATAGAATCAGATATGAAAAGGATGAATAACAACTGGAAGGAGCTGGAAAGGATTGCTCCGGACAGGATTGGATAGCGAGTGGTGGTTGACGGCCTACGCTCCTCCACTAGGGGTAACAAGAGTAAGGAAGTAAGTTGGGCAATTGTGAGGGAGATGTTGACCTGGGTCTCGTATTGCTTGACACTTATAAGGACAGTGTTTCTGTGACCACAAAATGTCCGGTCATCCACTATTATAGCTTTTGCTGGATTATTCAGACTTACAGTCAGCTTATAGAACTGGCATATTCACAATAGGTTGATGAACGAGCATTTATCAGTATTTTTCTGTCTTATCATCATGGGATGGTTGAGTTCTATCGATCGAAGTCTCTTCTTGGCACTACTATAAACGACCCAAAATCACATATACCATTTGGAGATCATAGATGTGTATATCATGTCTTCGAATAAAGTCATCCCACAAACTGAATATGCCATGAAGTGAAAGTAGCTTGACTCGAGTTTTGTAATGGTTTGAAACATACACACTCAGCCAAATTGCACAGACTTGCGGCAAACTGTCGATTCCAATTACGCAATTGAAAACATTAGACAAGACTCAAGTCATTAAATACAATTAGAAACTAAAAAACTATATTTGACATCAAGATACATGGGAACATGATTAATTTACTGTTACGATTTGTTTTCCAAAAACCATCTGCACTTCACTGTTTCAATGCATAAAATTTGAGGTCGTTTATGTGCTTGACGTCGCGAACTTTGACGTAGTTTTTCTTCTTTTCGTAGATGTGTCCTCAACTGAGTACAGTTTCACCCGAACACTCTGAACTTAAGCGTCTCCGTTCACATGTTAGCCTAATAACATGTTTTACACTTTCGATCTGTTCGGCCGCGTACATGTACAAACTTCTGGACGAGGCAATTGCGGATTTTGAAACTGAACTTCCTAAAAATGATGACTTTAGAAAAGATATTAATGAAAAACAAAGTCCAAAAATTGTTTCCCAACTAAGAGCTGTTTTGGATCAGCGTGGAGTGCTTTATTCTTCCCTTGACCTTAATGATATTGAGTTTGCAGTTAACTCGACCGGTAATTTGGTTTATACCTAGGTAGTTAAATTCTTTGTTTAATCCTTAAGATCTCCGAAACATATTTGAAATTTACTGAGAAACTATTCATGTATGGTTTGGGTCCTAAGTACAGTGAAGGTGTATGTTTTGTAGCTTAGGGTATAATTATGCACATGGATACACATTTAGAAACCAAGTCAGTCATTCAAACACAATGCAGAACCCTCCACATGCATATACTGTCTCAAGTTCCTATACCTTATTAGCACGGATAGATCATGTCGACAAACTCCAGAATAATAAAAATAATAACAATATTAGTGTTAACAGAAAAGATTAGGCATCGAACATACGCCTTAAGAAAATATAAGTTTGATGATGTGACAAGACATTTGTACAAAGCATTAGCTTTTATTCTCTGTATGTAGTTTAATTTTTGAAGTTGTTTTTTGTGTGTGCATATTTTAATGGCAGTAATTGTAGTTGTGGTCATATTCAGAGCAGCATATAAATAATTCAATGAACAGTGTATATTACAGTACAAAATCCAGGAATGAGTTTTTCAGTAAATAGAAGACATGCTCTAGGTTTGGTACCTGTACTAATATTTTTCGTGATGTATCCTCAACCTTATTTACAAACCCGTGTCTTAATTTATTACCGCTCCCTTGGAAAATTATCAGAACCGCCTGCATTTATTTATTTGAACACATAAACACCAGTAAAAGGGTGCACCGAGTATATGTGCTCCACACAATAAAAACAAGGTTGTGAGGGGACAGAATAAAACTTTCTGCTTACAAAATTAACTTATTTTATCTTTTTATACCTCACGTATTTGACGGTAGTCTTTCACGCCTATAAATTTTCAATTTCTTTATTTATAGGACAAGCTGTCTACATAATCTTGTTTCGTAATTTTTTGTTCGTGGGAAGATATTTGGCGTCTGACATTAAAATGCATCCCGCTATAGATCCCTTTAACTTATTGTAATTACACTGAAAACTGGTTCGAATAATTGATCTCGAATCACATATTTTGCGCCGAAATAAGAGTTACAAGCTGACTACTCTCTCTAAACTAAGTAGTCCCAGATTTCCACCTTCAAACCATTGTCTGGAAGCTGGGTGCCTTATATTCTGGGACACGCGTGTACCTATATATGACTCCACTGTAAATACTTCATTTGATGAGTTCCCTATTCCAAATAAATAGTCTTATGTCGACGTTACTTTGTCATTTAAACCATAAGGTCGTTATTTTATGTTTTCCATCCCGTAATTTTCTTGTATCTTTCCTCGTATATGAAGCTTTTTACCGTCGTTAGTGTTGTTTTTCTCTATTACTGTTAGTCTCTGTTTATATAGTGTCTGACAACTTTGGCAGGTAAATATTCGTATAGGTCGTCTATCTTTTTATCTTCACTTTGGAATTAAGTCTTTGTCATTATTGTCACTCCAACTACCGCCAGCTGCATTTGATGTGATGAGTTAAGGATGAAATTAGTACTCAATATTGACTTCACGACACACAAAAAACAACCAATAAGTATGAATTACCATTTTAGCTGTGATAAAATATTAACTATTTGGATATTATCATTGTGGCTTTGATAGTCTTTCGATATAGACAAGTGATTTTGCATTTTCTGGAGATTAGTTATAGTTGTTGTTGGTCATTACCGTACACTTAAGATTCAGAATAGATATTCCATCTCATAATTTTCTGTAACTTGATGCAAACGAAATATCACTATGAGATATTTTCCCGCCATTTTATACACTGGTCACTGTAAGTAAACAGTTTTAGTTAAATTAAAAAAGCACATTAGGATAAGTTATTTATGACGAAAGATGATGGAGTTTTGGATGTGGATTTGAGGATGGTCGAACCAATTATTTAACTACTCCACGAACATTCGGAACTCAAAACTTCGATAAGTGAACTTGGTGAGGTTAGTCATTTATGTTGATAAACATCCTTAAATTGGATTGTATTGTCGAGCTTAAAGTCGTCACGTTGGTGAAAACTGCATCTGTAGTCGTGCGAAAATCCAAATCATCTTGTGCCATATAAAGCAATTTCTTTTTTATGATGAGCCTAGTTTTGTTACCATTTCATCCTAGTGTTAATGGCGGTGCTATTTCTCCTTCACCATACCTTCACTATTAGAATTCTTGTCCCAACTGATTTGTTCCAATTTATTTTCTTTTACAAAAATGTTAATTTGTACATATTCAGTCAGATTCTTCTAACGTGATGGATAAATATGCTATCTTTCGCTGGTGGTGTTCTTACTAGATCGAAAATAATTTGTTTATTATTTTGAACCAACTAGAGTACATCCAGCATTTTAAGTGCTGGATATTGGCGTCATTCGAGAAATATACAAATATTCATCAGATGTATTATAAACGTTGATCGCTTAGTAAAATAAAATTTGTAAATTATGGTAATTCATTATGGTAATAAACTCGTGTGCTTTCGTTAATAACATTTCACACGATAGTAGATAGGTGAAAACTCTGATTGAGGTTTACACGATTGCTATGGTCAGTGGTTGGAGTGGTTGAGTGACATGGATTAGAATCGGCGCGACGGCCCAGATACATTTATTCTTTATCTCACCATAAATTTTGAGTTCTAAAGTATCTCGTGCCTTTTATTCCGCAAGCGTATTCTCAGATCATATTGCATTATCTACTACCGTTAACTTTTTTACTACTTCTGCTATGGCATTTGTCTTGATAAATTTATCTCACTGTATTGATGTGGTGTGGTGATGTGAACCGATGCACATGCGTCCCAGGTTCAACGTTCTTTAAAAATGATTGACTATGTTTTATCAGAATGTTTTCTTCTTTTCTTCTTGTTCCTCCTTACTAAGGGCTTTAGGGATGTTCACTAAACAATTAATTATTACCGCTCGTTTAACAGCTTTTCATAATCCACGTCGTAGCTAAATACTTGCCTACTTAATATCTGGAGGATTTAGTTTATTCGGTTGTATACTTTGTAACAGGTTTGCATGCATGATAATCTTTGGACTGATCGTTTCATTTTAGGTTTCGTTACTTCGAGTGAACTTTCAAATGCCAAAGCCGAGCAGTTGAAGTTTGCAAGCACGAATTTCTCAAACTCCCCAGATGCACTTCTGTACAGAAAACTAGTTAATCCATTTCATCAGTCTTTGAAGTTGGATTACACGTCATCTAGTTTCAAACCAAATAGCATTGTATTTGACAGTGAATCTGAATTTATTGAACATGTTGAAGATAAAAAGGATAGTGTTTGGCTTTTAGCCGTAGCTGCTCCACAGTCTCTCTCTTCATCAATCGCGGGAGATCATACGAGCACAACTCCATCCAGAATAAAACCTTCATCAGTTGTTACTGAGCAGATTTGGTCTGTTTTATGTTATCGGTATCAGTCCTTTGGATTTAAGATGGGTTTACTGAACTGTGGAAAACTACACAGGTATGAACTTTTTATTTGAAACAATCATCTCAGTAATATAAGATACCTTTTATTATTTCATGGATGGATATCCTTTCATTCTGTTTTGTGAAAAATACAACGCTTAAGATTCGTATTCGCACTTTTGTGTAATGTATAAGCATTATCCATTTATCCATATAGGATTTTGTAGACCACTTCAGTTCATTTGATGTGGAAAACAACTCAATATTAAAAACAGCCTTATCACTTAGAGAAAGGTGGAAAATGAAATTATCTCTCATTCACTAGCATATGTTTGAACATTATTCATGGATGAATTCGTGTTATCATCTTTCTCTTTATAAGGGGGTTTAGCTCACAAGATTGAAACATTTATTTTTAACTAGGGGACGTGCTTTTGAAAAATGTTCATGAGAAACTGTCTCAGCCATAATCATTTTGTAGTGATGTAACAGTTTCCTACCGAAAAAATATAGCGTGCTTCTAAGAGTAAAACATTGCTAATAAATCTCATAAGCTTTGTCTGTACTAAGTGATAGCTTTCCAGACTTTAATTAATTCACTAAAATTGCATAGGGTTGCATTCCTGTTCAAAATATTTTACGAAACAAATCGGTTAATCGTTAGTGATCTTCCAATTCAACTCTTGAGCTACAATCTGATTATTCAATCAACCCCAAAACATGTGGGTAATTTTGTGACTTCGTGACAAAACTTGTGGTAGCAGTTGAAAATAAGTCCATCTTCAAATTTGAGCAAAATAGGATCACTTAGAATACTGCCCGCGAAGATCTACTTAGAATTCTACATAATATTAAATACATTAGAATATTTTCTAGTTCCTTTATAATCCAAATAACTCGATGTATGTCAAAGGCGTCAACTTCAAAAGTTTTGAAAACTCATTCACTTAAAATGTCACCTTGTTCAACCTATAAGCATTTTTCGTTGTAAGTACCTGTTGAACGTATTGTAGAACTTCTGGTTTTTGTTGTAACTACTAAGTTCTCCGCTAAACAAATCGCTATTAAATTAATAAAATGTTAGAAACGAAGGGACGTACATAAACAGATTTTTGTTAATTTTTGAAGCGATGAATTGCTTCTCATATTGTACCACATCATTTTATGATAAATTTACTTTTTATTTCAGCCTTTGTATTGATCGTGGCTTCATTAATCCTGACCTTATTCTTGCCTTACCCAAAGGTGGTGAACGTATGAAAGATATAGTACAATTTCGACCTTTGCCTAAAGATCCAGAATCTACATCAATTATTGATTATGAATCAAGTAACTACATCTTAGAAGGTATTCACACGTGGATTGTATCAGTATTAGCAGAACGTGTAAAACTACTGAATAACATAAACAGCATTTATCCAGTGAATTCAATATTATCGATTGACCGATTGATAAAAATGGATTATTTAAAACATTTATTGTCATTTTGGTTATTGAAACGGCCTCAACCAATCCATGTTCTTTGGTTTCCTGAGTTCTCTGTCAAGTCGAAGTTAAGTCGCTCACATCAACAACCACCATTAGTTTTAAGTGCACTTTCTGTAACATATACTGGTCGAGTTCGCTTTTGGATTGTACCGAATGAAACAGTGAAGCAGAATCACACATTAATTAATAATAAAGTTAATAATTGGCCAATTACAGCTTCATCTGTTAACACAGTATATGAATTGTTAATCAATTTAAATTGTACCATTAATTCTCATTTTCTCATATTAACACCTGAAGGTAAATGTTACTCGTTTGGTTTAAACGAAAGGGAATATTTAAGCTATGAAAATCTTGAAATATTGTTACATTCTTTATATCCTTCGGCGGATGATTTTCTTTGGATTGCTGTACTTTTAACTACAATTTTAGTCTTAATTAATGGTGCTATAGAAGCTGGTAGAATTTTATCTATTCTCATATATTCATTTTACGTAAATCATGGTGTTGTGGGAAGGCATCATACTAGTACTGGTACCCGTCGGTCAGCCTTAGCTAGAACTGTGATTAGACTAGCACGTCAAGGATGGACATCTCATATTCCTAATTTCAATATTAATCAACATTATGAAGTTATTAATAACAATAATAGACCAACTGATAATCATTATCGTTCAACCGATGAACGTCGATTAATTTATGGTGATCAACTGAACAGTTCATCATCAATCAATATACAATCGTTTATAATATCCCATATTTTAGAATGGATAAAAATGTTTTTTCTAGACTTGTTCTCAGCTTATATTCTTCTTCTGTTAGCTATTTTACCGTTATTAAACCTGTTAAGTTTATCTTATTCTCTGCCTATTATTAATTTAACTCTCTACTTATTAAGGTCATTTGTCTTATCCTCACCTATAATCAATTTACGTCTTACTATCCTATCAGGTCATTTAAACTGTTATTATTTATTTTCCTTTATGCTGACGTTTTGGTTGTTTATTGTATTTTTGTCAAGTTGTGTAATGTCGAAATATGAAAGACATAATGATCAACTTACTAACAATTCACATTCTCGTCCTAATCGACTGGATCCTGTTTTAGTCCGAGAACGGTTAAATCAAATACCACCTGACCAGTTATGGGATGAATTGTCTCGTTTAATCATTCAATCAGATATTGAGCTAAGATCTGGTTCAGCAGATTCTGCAACTTCAAGTACATTAGAATCTGATGCTCGTTATCCTCACTATCAAACTTTCAATAATCAATCAAAATGTCCAAATGAACGTTTATCATCAAGTCTTATTACAACACAAAGTAATCATAAAGAAAATACAGAAGTCGTGGAAGGCTATCGTTTATTGCGTAGACTACGCAGACTTTATCATATTCTCAGTCAACAAACTGATCATTTAACATCAACTTCAATGAATCCAATTGCTTCGTTTTCATCAGCAGATGTATATCATCAAGGGAGTAGAGAAAATAATGAATCGTTAAACCATAAAACTGCAGCACATATGTACACTTGGAACTGTTTAAGTTCACTTGGTAATAGTAATGCTAGACCTCATACCAGTGTAAATTCTAGTCAGTGTCATTCTCAGACAAGAAAATCATTTAGTATTACCAAGCAGCTCATAAGTAATGTGGATACTAATTATGAAGCTGAAGATGAATGCGAATATACTACTAGTGATGATCGTATTTATCCAAAAACTTCATCTTTTACAAGAAGAAGGTATAGAACTCATCTTCGTCCAAATATAAGAAGTAATCACTTATCAAATCCAATAACCATATCCCCAAGTTCAAGTTCTACCTCAGATGTGGACACTATTGATCATGAGACATGCCTAAATAGCGGTTTTCTTCATTCTCGTAGTGTTTCTAAACGAAGTAATTTACTGTCCAGTAATTCTATGTTGTCCACTTCTTCCTCGTCATCATATGTGTCGTCCAATGATATAAATTTTGCGAATCCTTTGAACGATTGGCCATCATGGGTTGTACCGTGTAAAGAATGTGTTGTATGTTGGCAGAAATTCCGTTTAGGTGTACGCCTAAGTGCACTTCCATGTGGACATGGTTTTCATGAACATTGCATTCGAAAGTGGTTAGATACTGGTGCATTTGAATGTCCTGTCTGTCGGTGGCCAGCGTACGCACCGCATTTACGGCAGCAATGTCAAATGATTGAACAGTTGATTAGTGCCGTTCAAAATACTATCGATTTTGCAAAAAGTTCTAATAACAAAAATTAGTAGTCGACATTATTCACTTATAAAAGTATAGTTGTAGATAATCACTCAACTAACTTTTTTAGCAGAAATTGTTTATCTTCATAACGTTTACACTCCGGTTTATTATTTGTACAAATTCCTTCTTTTTAATAAAATCCGAAATATGCTTTTCGTAAAATACTCTTTTTCCTCATAGAATAAATATGCATGTTTGCGCCACGAAGTTGACTTTCAGTAAATGTTTTCTTCCAAGGAATATATGTTGTGATGAGATATATTTTAGCCGTTGGTTGATAGTCTAAAAGCTCCTTCATAGTTTGAGTTAATTCTAAGCCTACTCTTTATTTCGATTCAAACAGATTGTTTTGTTCGCTATCAAAATTGACATAGAAGTTTATGTAGGATACAAAGTACCAAATGAATTTATTGGTTTCCGAGTGATATTTGCCTTACTACCTGATTAGATTTTCCACTTAGTTTATAAATATCTGCGGGAGTACGTTTTATCATGCCAGATATACTTGTTGTAAAGCGTTATGACTAGAAGCAGCAAATGAGTCATGCTCAATTGTTTTGACGTGTGATGGTAGTTTGGTGTGTCCTATAAATAGACAGTCTCTCCAGCTTTTCTGCCTTCTCACAACAGAAAGGAGTTAGGAAAGATAAGCTCTAGGAGTAGCACAGTTGACCATCCATGGATCGTAAGGTCTGCAAAATACTAATGCATCCAAATGTATTCATATGATAACGTGACACCTATCTTGTCACACTTCTAATTTGATAAGGCTACTACCTGCCCAGTTTCCTTCTCTGGTCCCTGAGGAAAAATCCTTCCACGATGTGGATAGCAGGCGTTAAAAAACTAACAACACTCGATTTTTTCCATCTTGTAATACATTTTAAACATTTGGCGTAAGGTTGAACTGTGGCCCATTAATATACGTCTTACATCCTACATGTTTTCGTCATTTAGATGTAGTAGTCAAAACACCGTCACCTTATGATCTGTAATAAATAACACAAGGAAATTCGTTGCTCATTTCAATAGTAAAGTTTTCCTCATACCGATGTGAATTTTTGGTAAATTGGACTAGCACTCATTTTATACTAGATCTTATGTTATAGTTAATTATTAGTGTGGTGAACTATTTTTCCAACCTACAATTTGTATGCTTTCACAGATCAATAGATACTTAGTCTTTATAACATTTAACTTTCCGATACATCTATACACTAAGCTAATAGTTTTTCAACTATGAATTCATTCACAATGAATCAAATTGAATCTTGTCCTCTTTCCTGCTTGTCAACTAGGAATGGACTTACAAGTTTCTCTTTAAGATATATTGGTGGAGACCCTAGGAGATTACTAATCATCTTGATATATTTTATATACATATTTAATTGTGGTGACTAACAGCAAAGTAATTTGTCACATTTAACGAACTTCACACAAGATTAAGATGGGTGAACAATGTGCTGAATGAAAGAACTGGACGAAAATCACGAAAGATCAGTTTAAAAGTCAAGCGAACAGAGATTACATTGAGTTTTTTTTAATACAATTAATGTTGCACTGAACTAATACGAAAGTCATGTGAATGAATGTTATCTTTAAATTAGTACATCATCATACCAAATTTCTTCCTAATACATTTCATTCAAGGATTTAATCCAGCGATTTTAGAGGAGAAACAAATATACGATACATTGAATGCATATCACCTCTACTTATTTTGAAATAATGATACTCTTTGAGAGCATACAGTAGCAGAATATACTACTCACAAGTTAAACAATCAATCCTATCGATCATTCTAACAAAGATTTTAAGATGTCCATCGGATTATCATATAGTTTAATCTGACATGTCTAGTCTACTTCAAAATCTATGTGGTGTAAAGGATTTTCAGTTATGAGCACTGATTGTATTTTTTTGTTTTGGAGAACAGACATATAAGAATTACTATTATTTGGTAATAACATACGAATTTCCGATTTGGTACGAAGCGATAACGAGCTATTCCGATTTGTAAGTTATTTATTTGACGTTAGAGATCAAAAGCTCCATTTCTAATTAAGTGTTCACATTCATTTGATGCCGTAATTACAATATCATCAGTGTAGATCTATCTATTGGGATTGAAATCTTTTTTCTCAATATAGTTCCTACCAGTCAATCATATCGGGATGTAGTAGTTAAAATTCGCCCATTATTATGAAAAAATCCTAACTATGTTTACCGTCTCGGTCTATGTTTTCAAAATACCTTTATGCGTTTGTTTAGTCATTTTCACAGGTTCAAAGTTTTGCCTCCGAACACGCAAAATGTAATTTTATACTCAGAGACTCTCAACAATATTGACACAATATGGCTTGTTTCAAATTAATTTTTGTTAATAAAATTAAGATGTAATCATAAGAGCTGTGAATATGCTCATGCCACAACTTTTTAAATATGAACTACCTGATATTATGTAGTTTGTTCCACGCTGATAAAGCAATATGATTGCTGTTATTTTTTTGCCGGCGAAATCATTACATAATGGCATTGAATTAGAATTAAAAATTTGTTGAGATTTTAAGTCACAATATATCTTCAGTTTGTCCATGTGATTTCATTTACAGTATACTTGTAGAATTGATTGATCATGTAACCAATAATTATACGGACCTAAATTAAAAGCCCACGTACGTTTGATCTATTGGTTTGTTAGTTAAGTGCTTGATTTGTAATACTCCCCAGAAAGAACTGATAAGTAGGAATACACCTTTATGCTTGAGTGATTCGTGTTTCCACATCACTGTATCGTCCTTTCACAGTCTGGTTGAGATATTTATGTCCATTTATCAACTTTGAATGGCTATGACGACCCTGTTTTGTAATGAAGCTAGTCTTGATAGGCACACAACACTTTTGTGTATCGTTACTCAAATCAGGTGGGTTGTATTGACGACACATAAGTTTTGATGTGTTCCTATTTACTTGGTTTTTACCACATGTTCTCCAAAAGATTATGAGCCTTGATCTCAGGACTGATTATTCAGCACTTGGTTATTAAACGGAAATAACCCACTTGTACCAGTTGAATTAGTTGTATGATCACTGTTCTACCCTCTGTTCTCAATTTTTATATATCAATATAATTGCCATTACTTTTTGTGCATTATATTCCTCAGTTAAAGGAATTCATTTTATCTTACTAATTGGAGTGTTTAATTTTCGATATATCCAAGACGGAATTACGTAACATATATCAATTTTTATTAAGTAATTAATTTAAGTTTCTGGGTATTGTGATGTTTTACATTTTAATGAAATGACTAAATTACAAAAAATCAATAATTCAACTTTGATCGGAACTTAAAACTTCACTTTTCTCCCACCATTTATTTGTCCAAACTTGTGATATTGTTCAAACTATTTAGAATCAAACATGCTTCAATATTAAGACAGTGCTACTGTAAGAGACTGAACTAGATATAATTTAAACAAATTTCGGTATGTATGAAAGTTATTTATATTTGATTTTCATTATTTATTATTAATGAATATATTTTCAGAATGGGTTTTGTGGACATTTTTTGGAAATTTCAGTGGTTGAAATCATGAGTCAATTGAAGCCAGACCACCATGGAAAACCTGGAAGCACTGGACGGCTGTTTCGTCCTAGTATGGGACTCCTCACCAGTGCGCATCCACGATCCCGCTCCTCGCGAGATTCGAACCCAGGACCTGTCGGTTTCGCTCCAGGCGCTTAACCAACTAGACCACTGAGCCGGCATCCAACGGTGTTAATGTCTGAGGAGTCCCATACTTGGGCGAAACGGCCGTCTAGTGCTTCCAGGTTTTCCATGGTGGTCTAGCTTCAATTGACTCATGATTTCAACCAGTGAAATGAATATATTTGTTTTCGATTCATAATATCTGTATGAATTTATTAATAATGATGTTGGGGCAGTTCAATTTATCGACTGCTCCATCTAAGGTGATGAGCACAATAACTCTAAGAAAATGACTAGTGATAAAGTTATAAGTAGAAACACAATTTTGCCACTTAATAAATATTTCTAACATTCATACTTACAGTTCAAATTTTAAAAAAATGTTAAGTAGTCTGATAAGGTCACAAATTTGTGATAACTTAGACTGTTGATACATGTATTCTCATTTAGGAAAATTCAATTCAAATAGTTAAGGATTCTACCGATCTTGGGACAATATACATTTCATTTCTCTTTAAACAGTCCGAAATCGTGGCGATTTTCACTGAGTAATAATCACTTTTGTGTTGTTAATTAGGTCAGATGAGATCAGTAAGATAAGTGACTGGTTATAATATCGTATTTTTATCTTAAGTGTATAAAAGCAATGAACAAGAAGCTTTAAACTGGTTTCTATCTAGTTAAATTCATTATCAAAGTTTACCTCCCTATTTTTTTTAAAAAAAAGGTGCTGTTTTTACAGATTCACTATTGTAACCAAATAATTCCCTAACTCTTCGGGAATTATGGATCCTATTTCTAAAAGTCTTTATCCAATCAATGATGAAAATAACAGTAGTACACAAAATTGGAGTCAAGATCCAGATTTAACAGATCAGAATCAAGTCCCCTTATCTACAACTGCAATTCAGTCTGTTTCAGATGATGATAACCAACCCATTGTTGAACAACCGTTTAAAAAGCCAAAATTGATTAATATGGTAGGTTTGTTTTGTTTAAAAAATTTTTTTTATATTCGACTAAATAATTTGCAACATGTTCCAGTGATTTTCTCTTTAGTGGGATAATGTCCTGAATTACTCCATTTTCATTGTTGTAAGCGCCCAAATATCAACCAGTTGGTTACTGTTTTTGAACCGTTCCCTAACTAATAAGCTTATCTCATCTGTTTACCAATAATAGCTTCCACATAGTGGGTGTGAGGATAAGCTTTGTTTCGAAATTGTTGAGATGATTATTCAGTCACACTATCCGACAACTGCGTATACTGTAGATTAAATCTCCACATATCAATC